TGTGGATTTGCCAATTCTGGACATTTCATTTAAATGGACTCATACAATATGTGGTCTTTTGTGTATGGCTTCTTTCACTTAGCATACTGTTTATAAGTTCCATCCATGTTGTAGCATGTATCAATATTTAGTTCCATTTTTATAGCTGAATAGTACTCAACTGTATAGATATACCACATTTTGTTTACCCATCTGTCAGTTGATGGACTCTATCTCAATTTCTGAGCCCAGAGGACCCCTAAAAATACCAAAGACTGGTCTGAAATGTCAGGCAATTCTTTCTGTGAGGCCAAGAATTAAATCCAAAACCAAGACTTGGCTGCTGTTTGCCACTGCTCACCTTTCCCAGCGGGGGGTGCACATCAAAGAAAAAGGTACGGTTGATATAGTAACTTCCCATTTTTCCAAAGTGAGTCTCATCCCAACTAAAGGAAAAACAAAGAGAAATGAGAATTTTAAAATTATCATACAACCCAAATAGCCTTAATAGAGCATGATTAAAATTACAGTTAAAACCAAAGACTATGAATTTCAAGCAATTAATGAGAAATTTTGAATTAAAAAAAAATAGTTTTTGACATAGTGATTTGAGGAAGCAAGATCTCAAGCTGGTCATTAATCTTCATTTAGATAAATTTTTAAAGGTTAGCAAATATTTACAAATCATTTATCGTAAATTTAAGTTGAATCTACACTTATTCTGTATCTTGACTTCCTATTTATTTTAAAGAGGCAAAGAGTTTTCTTACAATACAGAAAGGTTTGTAGTAAGGTTTTCTTCCAAGGCTGCTAAACTTCAAACTCTGAGACTACGTTTACTACTAAACTATATTACTATTATAACAATCTACATCGTGGGCTACTGGTCAGAGAGAGCCTAGAAACCATGTTACAGAAGTCTGATTTTGTTTATCAACCTGTGGTAATTAACCTGCTGACAATGAACTCTTTGGTCTTATTTCAATGAACTATTATGTAAAAGTTGAGAGCTTTCTTACTAAGTTAAGAGTCTAACTAAAATATATTCTCACTGCACAAGTAATTTTGTAAGGCAATAAGTGATTCTAACACATTGCAAAGTCTTGTTCTTCTATACAACCACATAAAACTTTTTCAAATATTTTTATTGATTTCAGAGGGGAAGGGAGAGGGAGAGAGAAACATCAGTGATGAGAATCCTTAATCAGCTGCCTCCTGCACATCCCATACTGGGGATTAAGCCAGCAACCCGGGCATGTGCCCACATGAGGAATTAAATGTGACCTCCTGTTCATAGGTTAACGCTCAAATACTGAGCCATGCTGGCTGGGTAACACATTAGCTTTTAAACACAATGCAAAGTCTTGTTCTGTACAACGACATCAAACTTTTGACACCCTACATGAGGGCTTTGCAGTGGCAGCCCCATTACCCAGCTGAACCTGGCCATTTCTGTTTGTCAGTCTCTCTCTTTGCTTTCTGGTGACTATCCCACCTCAGACCACCTTCTATAACTATTCATTACTGACCTGAAAGATAACAGGCAAAAGATGCTTTTCCCAAAAATAGTGATGTCTAAGGGAGAAATAACTTCCAAGCAGTGTGACAAAATGGATATGCAGAAAGAGAGATCCAGTCCAGCAGAGCACTTCCTGACCGCATGGCTTAGCAAAATCACTCACCTTCTCAGATCCCTTGTCAACTACACAATGAAGACAGTAACAGCATCAGCCATGTCCCCTCACAGGGAGGTTTTAGGGCTCAATTCAGATGACACACATGAAAGAACTCTAGGACTCAAAAGTCTCACACATGCTGGGCACAATTTAAATTGAACAAGCATTTGTGGTTAGCTATGAAGTCTGGTTGAAAACCTAATGACAAAAGGGTATGAGATTTTCACTTCAAAAATGTCCCAGGTAAAACTAGTACAGTAAGTCCACACTTAACACTGTCAATAGGTTCTGTGACTTTAGGCAAATGATGTATAATAAAAACAATTTTACAATAGGAAAACTGTTATAAACAAGAGTTAATTTCCTATGACATCTCGATATTACAACAAAACTACGTTGAACGAGACTGTTAATCAACATTAATAGAGGGCCTGCTATTGTAATATTTACATTTCTTCTTGGCTTTTACTGCATGCTTGTGTTGAGAGAAACAGTCCTCCTTGGATCTCTCTTGCTCCCACAGACCTTGTAGGGTATGCCAAGGATGCAAGGCCCTGACCACTCTTTTCTATGGCCATTTCTCAGGGCTGTGTATAAGCAAGCAACCTTGAGGGAAGAGTTAGCGTATCCCTCTGTAACAGAAGCAGTCTGTTTCCTGCTTGTTAGTACACAGCGGGGTCCCCAAGCTCAGTATTCCTCAGCTAATGCAGCCCAGTGCACATGCAGACATTCATCCACCCACTGCATCACATGGAACTGGGGATAAAGGGACCCAGTGCCAATGTGCTGATGCTCATCCTGCTTGCTGTGACACAAAAAGTAAGTCCTTTGTCTCTGACCCAGGACTTTATCTTCTGCCAGCATCCATAGAACAGGCTAACTTCTTAGCTTGCAAGTAGGGTTAAAAAAATAAATAAATAAATCCCACATCCTGACAGTATTTGGCAACAAGCATAAGATACTGAGAGCTTTCTGTAAGAGAAAGGACAAGGACCCCCCACAGGCTGGTTTAGAGGACATGAGAAGACTCCCCGGAATTTGGTAGTGAATGCTCTTCCCAGTGGTAGGCAAGGAAGGCAGTAAAACTCCTCACTGTCCTACCTGTTCATGAGGCTGAGCAGAGAGAGGCAGGATTGAAACCAACCATCTAAGCCTTGGTTACTGCTCACTCTCTTCTGGGTGGGGAGGAGGAAGAGATGTCATCATGTCAATGGGCAACACACCTAGGAGCCCCTGCCCAAAGGCAATGTGGATGTGGCTGCTGAATCAAGAAGTCTCTAAAGCTTATATCAACGGTGCCAGCAGTAAAGAAGGACCTTGCTACTCACTGTAGAACTTTAGGTGAAATGAAAACTTTGGGTGAGCTGTGTACTCAAACCAAAAGTAAATGCTCCTTGCTTAGATGTTCAGAGCCATTTTCTCCCTCTGTGTCCCATGATCCCTCCCCTTTACCGTAACCTCAGCTGCTTTACAAAGTAAGATGATTAAAGGTGGGCCAAGGTCTCACTGTCCCCAAAGGGGGCTGAAGGCCATACACACTCATCCTACAATGCTGGGCAACTCCAGGGAGGAGAGGCACTCAAACTCAGGATTTTATCGGAATCAGGGCCCACATCTCCACCCTACTCAATCCCATGAGAGGAGGATTTGCTGGGTGCAGGGGTTACCAAAGGTGCGGAGTAGTGCATGGAGAGCTACAGCAGTGTGTACAGGGACTGAAGGAAAAGGGCCCCTAAGCCCAGGGGGTCACCAGATACATGGCAGTACACTGGGGAGGAAGTGGTGCCACGCCTATCAAGGGGCTAACGAAGGAAAAAACTTCCTCCACACCCCCTGCAATCCAGCACTCCCCATACTCTCTACGGGGGAATGGTGTGATCTCTGGCTGGCTCTCACTGTGACTACTGATGCCCAATTCAACTGGAAGGTTTGAACCAAGTTCCCAGTGGGAAAGTGAAGATAATGTGACCCTGTGGGTAGCACTCTTCACCATTATTGTGGCTTACATTACTGAATGTATAACTGGTATTGATCTCATAAGTGTCAAGGAGGATTATCCCATTCAGGGACTGTCACATGCTGAGTTGATACTATCCCCTCCTTGGTCTAGGAAAAAGAATACAAATCCCAAGAAGGGAAAGGGAAAGCACAGCTTTAAAGACCCAATGGGCTGCTGGAGCTCCCAGAGGTAATTCTCCATGATAATGGCGCCCCCTGCTGGATGCAGGCACCAAGTACATATTTATCTGTTTGTTTATTGGTACATACTTTTCTTAAAGGGGCAGCTATCAACCTACTACCATGCTCAGCTCTCTTGAAATTGAGTGCCTGCCATGAAGGCCTTAGGATCCCTGACACTTTGGGGTGGGTCAACTGACTCTACAAACTAAAATCTTTCAGAAAATAAATATCTCCTCACAGGATGGTCCCAGACCTGCTTCTTAGAACCCCTGTCACCATCCCGGGACAAGGATCAAGTTGTCCCTGCTCCCAAGGATCAAGGTATCCAGTTAAGAATTTCCCCCTCCACTGATGCTTGGAAATCCTGCAGATCAGGAACTCAGATCTTAGGAAATTCAATACTAAGAACTTCTGGTTCTCCTTGGAAAGCTCAAAGCACCTTTAAAGGCCACAATGTGAGAGCCAGGTGAGACACTGCAGCATAACCTGGAAGGCATCAAGACTGCTCCCTCATACCCTAAGAATCCCACTGCCACCCACCAGAGCAAAGATTCAGACTGCTATTAGCCAGAGGCAAACACCAGAAACCTCAGTTTCCCTTCCAGCGCGACCCCGCCCCCTCTTCCTCTGGGTCCCGCCCCCTCCGTGCTCCAGAACCAATCAGAGGACGCGCCCCTCCTTCCAGGTTACCATGGTGCCCCCTGAGTCCCGCCCGTCACTCACCAGACATGAGGTGGCTGGTCCAGACGATGGAAGCGGGTGGCGAAGGCCAGCAGCGTCACCAGGGCCAGCAGGACCCACCGGCATGCCCCCTCCGAGGGCCGTGAGCCCGGAGCGGGCCGTTTGGGGCTCTGCGCCGCAGCCTCAGCGGCCTCCTCCGGGACCGCGGCCCTGGCAGCCTGGGGCCCACCGCGGCCCCTCCGGTGACGTAGCTCGGACCCTGCCAGGCCTCCGCACACGGCCGACGGCATCCTTCCCTCCTCAGGCTCGCCCTCCGGCCCGCGGGCACGCTAGCCGTCCCGCCTAGAAGTCACAGAGGGGCGGCTCGGGGCGCCCTGGGAAATGTAGTTCCCTCTGCCGGCAGCGGGGCGCGGACCTCGGCCTCTGGGCTGGGCGGGGAGCGCGGTGCACTCGGCCGCTAGGAGGCGGCCAGTGGCGCAGAGCATGACGGACCGGAGGGCCATGCGGGCCGGGCAGGGGAGAAAACGGGCTCTAGGAACTGCAATTCCCAGCAGTGCCGGGCCTGGGGCGTGGCGAGCTAGGAGGGACCGTGAAGATCATTCTCGTCCAGCCCCTCGCTTTCCCCAGACGGAAGCCTGGGTTCTGAAGTGTCGGTGTCCCACTTGGGCCTCAGGCGTCGACGAGTCGGGGAGTCCACGGGCGCGATTTCCTGGCCTGAACGAGGGGTCGCCCGAAGTGCGAGATGCAAGTGGGGAAGGTCTGTGCCTCGCATCCGGGGAGAGGGGCGCTACTCACTGAGGACCTGGGGGCGGGGCTAAGGGGAGTCGGGCCCCGCCCACAGTTCCAGCCACGACTCCCAGCATGCAGTGCGCTGCGTGGTCCCGCTTCGCGTCTGCGCGCTGCCTGATTGGGGGGGCGGTGTCTCTGGGCCTGCGGGGGGGGGGGGGGGGAAGTGTCTCCTGCCGTGGGGTCGGCCTTGGGGTCGGGTAGCTAGCAGATCCCACACATTTCGCCTGATTCCCCACCTCTCTGTGAGGGCTCCCAAACCTCGTCCCTCGCCAACCTGCTCTGCACAGCCCTGCGTGTGGGCCGTAAGGAACAGTTAACACGTGGCTTTCCGGGGTTGTTCGCATTTCTAGAGAACTTCTGGGGCGAGGGGAGGCAGTGGCACTTCACAATCTCCTGGGCCCGACCCCAGCCACTGTCAATCTGTCAATCTCTGGAGGAATAGGCCTGAGAATCTGCATAGTTTAATACACGCCCCAATAGAACTGCTCAAAGGAGGGTGGCAGGCACATCAGGTGGGATATAGCATTACTTCAATAATGTAGAGCTCTCCCAGTCCCAAATGGGATTTTAGGGGTCATGTGTAAGAGATGGCTTAAAAAATCAATGAGAAACATATCCTTGGGTGAAAATTTAAAAAAAAAAAAAAATCTGTTAGAGTGATCAGAATCTATACTAGAATTGGAATCAGAATTCCTCCCAGAATGATGATGGGATGGATACTTGGGCTTAAAATTCAGCTCTGCAAGTATAAAAAGGAACACGGGATGGTTTGTATAATTATCATTGGTAAAAGAAAGAGTGGAAACTGCCCATCAGTATGTCAGCTGATGGCCCATAAGTAGAAAACCTGAGGGCAGAGGCATTCACAATAACTCTGGTCACCCTTAGTACAGGTCAAAGGTGTAACATTTAGTAATCAGGAAAGGCATTTCTTTTAAGGTTTCTCGAGCTGATTCTGCCACTCTCTAGATTTTATAACAAACAAACAAAAACAGACAACAGGATTTGTATATGAAACATCCTGACTTTTTAATGTTGGCAACCACAATCTTCCCTCGATATCCACAGGGCATTGGTTCCAGAAGTCCTGTCCCCCCCACATACCAAAATCTGAGGATGCCTGAGTTCCTTATATAAAATAGCATGATATGTTTTAAACCATTTCTAGATTATAATACCTAACATAGCGTAACTGCTATGTAATTGCCCTACTGTATTGTTCAGGAAATAATGACAAGAGAAAAGGTCTGTATGTATTCAGTACAGACCCAACCAAAGCAACCATCATAGGTTTGACTACATAGCACACGTCAATAACAATGTAATGTTTTCTTCTGAATATTTTCCAGCTGTACAGATAAGTGTAATTGAGACATTTTTAAAACCTGTGTAGACCAAACAGAACCTCGGGCTGCCAGTTTGCGATCTCGGCTTTGACATGAATGGGCATATACCCCAGCTATTTTGATGAGACTAACTGACAGCCTGGAGGACTGGTGGGTCGGGGGTTTGAAAGCAATGGACACAAAAGCATCAAGAATTAGAATTGCTAGGGGGGAAATGGGAGACAACTGTAATATTGTCAGCAATAAAAGACAGAAAAGAATTAGAATTCCTGGTCTCTCTGCTACTGCTGGAAGAGATCTAAGCCATTCTTTTAGGGAAGCTCTTCATTTTACAGAATAGAGAAGGCAGGGACTTACTATTATTGGTCCAAGGTCATACAGAGCTGGCTCCTGCGTGGGGATCAGACCCCCATATGCCAGCTCCCAGCCCACTGCACCCCCTGAACTCCTTACCTCAGAACTAGGCTACCCTGTCTGCCCAGGACAGCAAACCAGGAGCATAAGAAACCTCCCAAAGTTTGGGAAAAGATGCCCCTTCAGACCTGAGTCAAAGTCCTCCTGACGCCTAGCCTAGCACAGCTTCCCCATTGGCTCATGGGATCTGCCCCTTCCGAAGACCTCCCCCTGCCCTGCTGCTCTGTGACAGGGGACATTCCTCAGGAGGCCAAGGGTCACCACAGCACCATGTCTGAGTCTGGCAAGGTAAGGAGAGCCCTTGCAAGCTGACTGTCCTTTTGGGGGTTCCCGTCAGACCTCAGAAATGCACGACAGCCCCGTTTGGAGCTGAGGGACTACACAGGACTCCTGAGGCCTCTGACCCCGATGCTCTGACTCTGGCCTGAGGAAGGAGGCCTGGAAGGATGGCGAGGCACAGACCCCTGGCTGGGGCTGGGGCCTCTTCTCCAGTGGGCTCCTGGCTGGGACCCACCGCATGGGTTAATGTACCCCTCGTCCTCTCTTTCCTCAGCCCATCCTCTATTCCTATTTCCGAAGCTCGTGCTCCTGGAGAGTTCGGATCGGTAAGAGCTGTGCCTCCCCCACAAGCCTCGTTGGGGTGGGATGGGGTGGAGGAAGCCCCAGGTGGAAGTGATAACCTGGGCCCTAGCCAGTTGGGCTCAGTGGATACAGTGTTGGCTCATGGACTGAAGGGTCCTGGGTTCGAATGCAGTCAAGGGCATGTTGGTTGCAGGTTCCCGGGCCCTGGTTGGGATGCATGCAGGAGGCAACCAATTGAAGTGTCTCTCTCACATCTGTCTCTCTGTCCCTTCCTCTCCCTTCCGCTCTGAAAATCAGTGGAAATATATCCTTGGGTGAGGATTAACAAACAAAAAGAGATGGCCTGGGACAGAGGGGTGCTCTACCAGACAAGTGGTCTCTCGCATGCCTTCTCTTCCCCCCCCACCCCCCTCCCCCTACTCCAGCAACCAGCAAACCAGCATCCCTATCTTCTGGAGCCCTCAGCACTGAATGGCCCCTCCACCCAGGAAGTCCAACCAGAGGAGGGGGCCGGTTACCAGGGAGGAAGGTTGTTTTTTCTTTTGGGCCAGTGTCTCTCCCACCCTGCCCTCCACAGCTCCTTAGCAACCATGCTTAAAGCAGACTCACAAATCTAGAGGACCTTGGTAACTGGCAGGAAACAGCTGGCCTTCCTCAGATCTGAGCTTATTTGATCTGGCCAATTAAACAGAACTGGCCATTGTCCACCCCAGCTTAATCCTTCCCTCCCTCAGTTTAACACAGCCCTTGGCAAAGGTCAGAGTCCTAGCAGCTCATGCCGAGGGAGAAGGTGCTGAGTGCTTTTGTGTACATACCTCCATTTAAACCTAACCCGCCTAAGAGGGAGCTACTATTATTGTCCCCTTGGTACAGACGAGGAAACTGAGGCTCGGGAAGTTACTTGCCCAAAGCTTCACGAGCTAGCAATTGAAAGTGATGAAATGTGAAGCTGGCCCTAACTGGAAAGCCGTCCTCAGTGACCCCTCCCCCATCCCACAGGCATTTGGTATTTGCTGGAATCAGTAGGCAAGGGCATTGGAGGGCCAGAGGGCACTTTTCTCCAAGAAGATGCCTTCCCTGGGCGCAGAGCTTCTGCCCTGGCTGGGCCAGAAGCAGGAGCAGCAGGAGCACTGTCTCTGTAGGGCCTGTAGACATGGTCTCTCCCATTCAGTCTCAACCACTTCCACTCTCTCAGCTGGCCAGTGCTGAGGAGGAGCCCCTTGTCTCCCAGGCTCCTAGCTTCTCTGCCCGTGCCTGAGACCGGCCATCACCATAGTTAGTGCACAAGCGTGCATGGACACACACACTAGCACTGACAGGGTTTTTATCCTCGCCTTGCCAGAGGGAATCATCAGAGGGGTTGCAGAGGAAACCTGGCCACTGGTGGTCACAGCAGATGCGCTGCTTGCAACCCGTCGTAAACAGAGTAGAGAAAATGGATTGCAAAATGCTGCTTTAAACAGTGGCCTCTGCCTGTGTGTGTGTGCTTTATGGTCACGTGATCCCCTTCCCTTGGCCCTGAGAAGCCTGCATGAGGGAATAACTGTGTGTCTCCAACACAAAGCCCTACTGGCCACTGTTCAAGGCCCTGGAGGGGGAAGAGATGAGGACACTTCCCTGCTGTCCTCCAGAGGCAGGGCAAGAGAGGCAGGGTGTCATGGACCTGGGCTAGGGCCTTGGGGGTGCCCAAGGAAGCCAGACTGCCTAGCAATATGGAGGAAGGAGTCTCCCTCTGCAGCCTCATGTCGCCCTGGGACGTGGAGCCAGAGGCTGTCCCCTGACTCTGCTGCCTCTCCTAGCTCTGGCCTTGAAGAGCATCGACTATGAAACAGTGCCCATCAACCTCATAAAGGATGGGGGCCAGCAGGTAAGGAGGCTGCCCCTGGCCACAATATGGGAGCTGGAGGCCTTGGAGAACCCAGCAGGCGTTGCAGAGGCCCCCTGGCAGAGGAGGCTGCTGGCTCTCCCTCATGGGAATGGCTGGTAAGCTGTGCAACAAGAGGAGCTATGGGAAGGACCCAGGCTTCAGGCTCCATACCACAGCCCAGCCTCTCAATGCCTGACCCCAGGGAGGTGGGTAGCAAACGGGTCCTTGCCCATGCTGAGACCTCTGCATGTACCTAGGTGGCCAGTGTGTGAGGGGCTCACATTGGGATGAAGCCTGGAGCTCGGCAGCCACTGGGGGCTGGGATACTGCACAGATCGCTCAGGCATCACCTCCAGCCTTCGAGCCATGGCCTTCCCCAGGGGAGGGAGATGCGGGGCGGGGTGGGGGGGGGGCGGCGGCGCAGCAGGCTTAGGGCCTTTCTGCTTTAGCCTACTCAGGCCAGGCCACCCAGCGCACCAGGACCCTCTCTCCACAGTTCTCCAAAGAATTCCAGGCACTTAACCCCATGAAGCAGGTGCCGGCCCTGAAGATCGATGGCATCACCATTGGCCAGTCGGTGAGTGCAGGCTTGGGAGGCCCCTCCGGGGATTGGTACCCGAAGGAGAGGGCCTCACAGCTCTTCCTTGCCTGTGTGAGGCCACAGCACCCAGCTCTTAGTAGGAACACCATAGCCATAAACCCTTGTTAAAGGGAGGAAGGTTGGCTGGTTGCTTTGGGATGAGAAGGGAGACTCAAACATAGGCAGAGCAAGTTCTGCGGGATGAGGGTCCAAAAAGAGCTCATCCCTCCCCTCCCCTCCCCCCATCCCAGGGAGCCTCTTGGCTTTACAGGCTTCCAGCTGAGTAGGACAAGGAGGAGAAGGAGAAGGAAGGGGGGGAGGGGGAGGGGGAAGGGGCGAGGGAGAGGGAGAGAGAGGAGGGGGAGGGGGAGGGGGAAAGGAGAGGGAGAGGAAGAAGGGAGGAGGAGGAGTTTGCAAGCCCTGCCCCTCTGGTCCAGGGGCCCTGGGCCCTCTCCTGCTCCCCTCACTGCTCCCTCTGGACAGCTGGCCATCATCGAGTACCTGGAGGAGACTCGGCCCACTCCGCGGCTCCTGCCTCAGGACCCAAAGAAGAGGGTCCTTGTGCGCATGATCTCCGACCTCATCGCTGGCGGCATCCAGCCCCTGCAGGTGCAGCACTGGTGGCACTCTCTCGCTGACTGGCCAGCCCAGTAGGGGCCCAGCTTGGGTGTGAGGTGGCATGATGGAGGAATTTTCAAGAACTTAGACTAGATCACATGGTGGGGCAGGGGAATGGGAGGGATCCCAGAAATCACTCACTCTGCTGGGTCCCCATCCGCACTGTCAGAAGCCCTGGGCATCCAGCGGTGTGAAAGGGGAGAGGCCAGGTGGGGGGAGAGGGGGCCCGTGTAGAAGAAGGGGGGAGAGTCTGAGCAGCTCAGCCCAGGCCGCCTGCCTTTAACCATAGCAGCCTCCCTTTCGTCTGTTTGTGTATCATAGCTTCGGATTCCCATAAAACTTTTATTTTGTAAAGTCATCACTGATTTTTTTTAAAAAGGTAATACAACAGTTCATCTGTGCTAACCCCTGACTTTGCCAATGAGGAAATAGCCCCAGAAAGATGGAGTGACTTTGCAGACATTTAGCTAAGTGTGATGGAACAAGGACCGCGGAGCTCAGGACTGTGGCTGTGCACCTGTGCCCTCCCCATGTCCCTTTGTTTTTTGTAACAAAGGAGGTTGTAGCAGACAGTCATCCTCATTTTATAGATGAGGAAAACTGAAGCCCAGAAGTGAAATGGCTCCAGGGGTGTGAGGATGGAACCAGAGTCCAAATCTCCTGACAGCCCGTCCTATGTGCCTTCCCCACCCCCACCCCACATCCATATCTTACTTCCACTCCTCACAAGGGGCCATGTACGGGAGAAGGGATGCAAGAGAGATAGGCGTGGGTTTTGATCACAGCCATGGCTGTGTTCTATGTCCCCACCCTTGCACATCTCTGCCAGAGTAACAGGCTTCCAGACCATAGGGGCCACTGGGACAGCCTGAGAAGGTGGTTACTGATATCACTGCCCCCGCCCCCCAACCCTTTTAACCTTGGGGCCCTGATGGAGGAAAGGGCTCGCAGAGTCTGGGGGCAGAGAAGAACAGATGGACAGCCAGGGTCACTTGGGAACTAAGCTTTCCTGGGGGCTTGGCTGAGCAGGCCCAGCCTGGCTCCCAAAACCAATCACAGACTTTCCCTGGGCTGCACAGAACCTGTCTATCCTGAAGCAAGTAGGACAGGAGAACCAGCTGGCCTGGGCCCAGAAGGCCATCAATTCTGGCTTTAGCGGTGAGTCCTTCCTTACTCCTCTCGGAGAAACGGCCCTCATGCCCATGGTCCTGGGCATCTGAAACAGCTTTCCAGCCTCCTTGGTCTTGACAATGGCATGGATGAGGGTGAAGGGCCGGACTGAGGAGGCAGTGGGCTGGGCAGCACCCAAACCTGGCCTCCACCTCTGGGAAGCTCAGAACTTGAGGCCCTTTGGAGCTGGATGGCCCAACCTCTGCTTCATAGCCTACACCAGCCAGGAAACCAAGGCCAGCAAAGTGCCAGCCCATCAGTGTGAGAGCTGCTGCCTGGGCCAGTGGCAGGCCTAATCACCTCTGAGGAGAACAGCTGGAAGACATCTCATCCCCACATCCCTACCAACTCACTCTAGTCATGGCTGCCATATTCCCTCCAGCATACATGCCCTAGCCTGTCACTCAGATCCCGCCCATTTCACAACTATGGAGGCCAGTCTCCCTTTTCTGTGCCAGAGTAAGCTTATTCATGTCCCCCCACAGCCTTGGAGCAGATCCTACAGAGCACAGCGGGGAAATACTGCGTGGGAGATGAGGTAAGCTCTCCCAGCCTCGCTGAGCTTTCCCTTAGGCGACCAATGCTGTAGAGCCAAAGACCATCAAAAAACACAGATATTTACGTTACGATTCATTAACGGTAACAAAATAACAGTTATGAAGTAGCAACAAAAATAATTTTATGGTTGGGGGGTCACCACAACATGAGGAACTGTATTAAAGGGTCGTGGCATTAGAAAGATTGAGAACCACTGGTCTAAGCCATCCCTCCACCCCAGGGAAAGCTCAGTGAGGGCAGGGGGAGGGGAGGTGATGGAGAGAAGGTGAGGTGGTCCTCCCTGTGCCAAGCAGAAGGGAGCTTGGGGAGCTCCTGCGCTCACTCCTAGTCAGTGCCTCAGCAAGAAGGGAGTCTTGTTCACACTGAAGATGTCATGTCTGAGATAAGGAGGTGATCTAGGCAGCAAACAAGGGATTAAACTAGATAATTCCTCCTTTCCCTCCCAATCCTGAGATTCTAGGGCTCAGTGCTATTGGCTCCTACTGCTAAGGCCCTGGCCTGTGACAATTCTCATTCTGGCCCCTCTTCTCCCCAAGGCATCTCTTCCATTCTGGGAGCCCTCACTAAGGGCCAATGATGACCCTTCACAAGCACAGTACATTCATTAAGGCAATCAGAACTTCTCTGGCCACCTACAGAGTTGGTTGTCAGGACAACTGGAGCAAGGCCCTCAGCTCTGGAGACAGACCAGACAGGCCCAGGGGAGACAAGGATGGGGAGGAGGCAGTGGAGATGGATGGAAGCATACATGCCCAGCCTGTGAGTCTGGGGTGCACACCCTGCTGCAGACCCACCCCACTCTCTTTCAGGTGTCCATGGCAGACCTCTGCTTAGTGCCTCAGGTGGCAAATGCTGAAAGGTAAGCAAGAACTCTGTCACCCTCCCTCTTCCTCCTGGCTCTTCTCCTCCAAGTGCCCAGCCTCACTTCAGCTACTGAGGTAGCATCTCACGCAGAGACCCTCCTGGCTGGCCCCTGTGCCAAGCCACGCCAGAAACTGTGGCCTGGGAGAGAGGCAGAGGTCAGTGGAGCATCCTCTCCCGGGCCCAGCTGCAGCCCAGGTGATCTGCACAGCCCCTCCTTCTAAGAGGAGGTGGCTCAGCTGTTGGACACCCCTAGAAGAAACCCCAGAGCCTGCTCTCCCAGACACGGTGTGTCTGTACCCTATGGTCAGCTCCACCTCCGTTTCCCGCATCAACCCTCAGGAAGGCATGAATGAGAACCTCTCTGTGGAAGGCACTGCGTTAGGGACCCTTAGGGATTCGGAAATATATGACCCATTCCCTACCCCGGGAAGCTTATGACTCAGGTGGAGAGACAATCTTCATTTATAAATGCCTAGCACTGTCTCTCACACATAGTAGGTTTTCAATAAATAGCCATTGCTTGGAATAGGAGCAGTAGGCAACAGAGGCCTCAGATGATACTGCATAAGAGCTAGCCTCCCCAGAGAGCTGGCTGTGAAAATAAGCCTTCCACCGGCAGGGTCCCGTCCCAGCCCTTCCCTGGCCAGCCCCAGGGGCCTCCTCCAGTCCTGTCTCTGTGCCACCCTCACCGCCCACAGGGCAGTCTCCCATACCCCTGCTGACCTTGCCTGAGGTGGGTGTTTCTCTGCCACAGGTACAAGGTGGATCTCACTCCCTACCCTACCATCAGCCGTATCAACAAGGCGCTGCTGGCCTTGGAGGCCTTCCAAGTGTCTCACCCCTGCCGGCAGCCAGACACGCCCCCGGAGCTGAGGGCCTAGCTCTCAAACCACACCCACTGGTGCAGGAGCAGAAGCTGGGTGGGCTGAACAGGCCTGGAAATGAGCAAGCCCTAACTGGAGAAGCAGAAGACTTGCCCTCCTATCCCTTGAACTTGAACTGTGGCTGTGGATCTGCCTTAATTCAACCTTGTTCTGCCTTCATCCCCTCATCTGTCCAATGCAGTCAGAATGGGATGGGAGGATGCTGGGAGGGAGGGAGGAAGAAACATTGCCTACTCCCTAAGTCATGGTACAGTCATTAAGGTGAAGTGAGAGTGTAGACCAAACTGCCTGGCATGTTTACCTGAGAGCCATAGGGAGTCTGTGTGGTGCCTCCCAAGTCTTCTACTGTTGCTAACTCCAAAGAATGCCCCCCCTCCCCCCCACAATTTGATCATTAAACTGAAGCACAGGCCTGGTTGTTCAATAAGACTGAGATGTTCAGGTTTTGGTTAAGGCAGTTCCCGAAGATGAACATTTCTCTAGCTGGAATTCCCGTGCCTGGACCAGGCAAGGAAGTCATCAGCTCAGGATCAACTAAAGGATGAAAAGCAGTGTGTGCTGGGGGAGGGAGGGGACTAATGGGATAAGTCCAGGGTGTGGCCTCGCCGAATGGCCACAGCTAATGAGAAAGAAGAGCAGTCTGTCTGACTTCTGGGCCTGCAGTTTTGAGTCAGAGTGAGATTATCGTGTGTTCCCAGCCCTGGGGCTTCCGTGGAGTCCAGGTCACCGTGGTTAGCTGCTCGGCTGGAGATCTGAGGTTCCGCTGGCTCCAGCCCTCCCCATAGGGAGCCATTCTCAGGAACCTGGGGCCAGCTTCACGGGAGAGACCTCTCTGTTCCTAGACTACTTAGCTATGCGTTAGGGAGTACGAGAAAGCATTTCTGCAGCATCTTCCCTGCCGGAGGGCGGTGTTCCTCCAAGCTCCTCTAGGGCTGCACTCCCTGTCTTCCCCCTGTTATCCAAGTGCCAAGCAAGGGGTAGCTTTGCTCCATGAATGTCTGTTAAAGGGAAGATATACTTCCTGTGCAGCTGTGGGTGGCCTCCCTGCAGGTCTCTCCTCCTTCGGGGCCCTACAAGGTCATGAAGGAACAAATATTTCCCCAAGTGCATAGACTTTTGTCTAGAGGTCAGACCAAATGGCTCCAAGGCTTAGCGATAACTACGCTTCTACAAAGTGTTTTGAAGTTTATTACCTGCTCTGCCACTCCTTCCAGTCTGCAGATAAATTCTAATTTTCAGGGGGCGGATGTGTTACTCAATCCAAAATCATCACCCCTTTAGGGGACGTTTTCCAGTAGGGGCTTCTCTCCACAGGCTAACCTGTGGTAAAAGTCCACATCAGTTGTTAGATCCCAGAAGAACATCAGCAGGCACCTGATCCTGGCCTGGGAGGCCACAGGGAGACGTGATCTGCAGTCTTCCCACAGTGCATGTGGCTCAGGGGATGAACAACAGATGTTGGGGTGTCCCGATACGGGTAGATGGAAGTAGTTAAGCCCTGGCAAATACTTTAGAAGGATGAAAGCAGCAAGGACTTTAGAACATAGCCAAAAATATAGGATTTTGTTCCAAAGCAATTTTTACATATCCATTAAAGAAAACAGTAAACTTACTGGGCAAACAGGTGGAGACACGCATTCATAAGATAAGTATTCGTTTTATTGGCTCCTCCTAACTTTAAACACAACTTATTTACCTTTTGATTCCAAGGTCACAGCAGGCATCGTTCCACTTTGCCAGGATACCTGACTAAGCTGCTGAGTACAGCCTGAACCTCACGGTTAAAAAGCATCAGCTGAAGGTCAAGAGTTGCAGTGTGTGAGCTTCCTTATATAAGCCTGGGTCAATGTCAGGGTCAATGATATGACAGATATGAGTGCCATTAAAAATTAAGAAATAACCTTCAGCCCTGGCCGGTTTGGCTCAGAGATTAGAGCGTCAGCCCATGGACCAAACAGTCACAGGTTCAATTCCTGGTCAAGGGCATGTATCTTGGTTGCAGGTTCAATCCCTGGCCCTGGTAGGGCATGTGCAAGGCAATCAATTAATGTATCTCTCTCATGTCAATGTCTCTCTCTTTCCCTCCCTCCCTCCTTCTCTCCCTCCCTCCCTTCTACTCTCTCTAAAAGAAAACATATCCTCGGGTGAGGATTAAAAAAAAAAAATCACACAGTGACATATTCAACATGCCCAACATAACGCAGTCAAGATCCTTAGTTATATACAGTCTGCCTGGGCTTATTATTGGTTGCAGAGTAGTTTGGTGGTAAGATTATATCATTTAACTCACAATTATTTAAGATCTCTGCCTCTTGATACAACAGCCTCTAAAAGGAAAGATGGAACAAGCTCACCTTGGAACCACAGATATCACTAAAGGAAATATTTAAATGGCACCCCTCTCTGCTCAGATATGAGTCCTTCAGATTCTGAAACAGACGGCAGGGATGTGCAGCTTTATAAGAGATGCCAAAGACAGTGTATAGTGTCAGTTTTGCAAGTGAAAATAGGCTAAATTAATACCACTCTGGCTGAGTTAGTGATTACTCTGGTGTTCTAAGTACTGGTTCCAAATTTGAACAGATTAAATAAGTAAATCCATTGGAAAATAAACATCACTGGGACCAAATACTGACAAAACCTGTTAATGTTCTATTTAGTAATCATTACTCTAAACCAGATTTTTCACTCTTGGGCCAAACCTAGCTCCCAGTTCATAATACTCTGCTATGATTTAAACGCAGATGAAAGATCTATTAACCTCATTCTCAGTATTTTCTTAATTGTCAATTTTCTTAATTTGTATAGCCTCAATAGATTAAGTTTACAGAATACCTTTCAGTTAAGATGCAAAGGAGAGATTAATAAAAAACGTTTTAATGTAAATCAAGTTCATTAAGATATAACTCAAATGTTTCAGGTGCACAGTGAAAAAGTTTATTTATGACAGATTTCAAAACTCGGAAGAGAAGACAAAGAATGCACAAAAGCATCACAAAACTGTTACATAATATTAAAACACAGGCCTGAGATACTTAGAGAACCGTAGCTCAGGATCATCTGTGTATCGCAGCAACACATTCAGTGCCACAGGGTGGGAAATGTGGCATTTTAAAGGAAAAACCACTCAGAGGACATGATGGAATAACAATTTGGTACAGAGCTCTCAAGTTAGAAACCACAGGAGGGGCTGACAGCGTTTCTCATGATAGAGGACGTGTACAACAAACTGCAATGAAGGACCGGCTGAGACACTTTTGTATTTTAAATAAAAAACTGTTCTACTTTCAGACCCCTCTTTGTAACGTCAGCATCAGTACATGATATAGAATAAGGAAAGAATACCTTTGTGGTTGCCAATTGCTTAAATATTTACCAAGAAAGCGTGATCATCTTTCCAACTGACAGAGTTCAGTGAGTGGCATCAAAGCAGGCCTTTCAGAAATGAGCAAAATGGCATAATGTGGTTCAGGAAAGCTCCAAGCACCTCCCTCTATTCCAATTACCCTCATCCAAAGGCTGGCTTTCTTATAACCCATCACTTTGATTACAAAGCAGCTTTCTCCTGGGAATTTCAAAACACTTCCCATTATGAAGGGAGTACGGTGGCTACACCAGTCATGGGTTATATAATCTTGGACTTGCTCAAGGCTAAATGGAAATAATTCAACTTGATTAAACAAACAAAAATTTCATTTATGGGACAATCATCTCAGAAAGGGATGTAGCAGAGTTTTTAATATGTAATTTCCTGTACTGTTTAAGACATAAGAGAAGGAATTAAGATAATGTTTTCCAGATGGCTCTTGCCTGAACCTAAAAAGCAATAGTAACAAACCAATCACAAGGAACATCACAGGCAAGGCATGTGATCCCTAAGTGAGGATGAGAGCACCTTAAAGTGATGCCCGTGACGAGCTCCTCTGTAACCCTATGTACTATAATGGTTCAAGCCAAAACTTTAGAATTGTTCCTGACCCTCTATCGGAACTTCTAGAAAATACACTTTGTCCCTGAAAAGATTTGGGCCTATGAGAAATCAAAGTACATGTAATAGAAACCAAGTTCAAAGCAGTACCAGGACTACAGAGAAGAGTCTTGCTTTTGGACTTAGTTTCTGAAGGAATGACTGTTGTTTGTAAATGAATCCCACACTCAAGACTTGAGGCAATTAAGTGGGGTTCCTTGGCTTGGTGAAGAGAAATTCCAACAGGCGGGGCCTTCCTGGTTCAGGCAGGGACAATGCAAAGCTCCAGAGGGAGCAGTGATTTCTGAAATCTGGCCCCACAGCAAAGTGTTTCTCAGCCTCTGAGTCTCAAATCTTGCCCTAAGCTCATTACATAAATAACTGGATAGATGTCAAAGAACTATCCACAGGTGCTGGACTGGTTAGACAGAGCGAAGGGGTGACACTGGCCATAGCCAGGCACCAAGAGCGCCAAGGCAGCTCTTACCCAACGGCCTCCCCGCTTCCAAGAGGACTCCAGGAACCAACTCCCAGGGGTTCTCATTGCAGAATGTTCTCCTTGGCAGAATACCAAAGGCACTGCCCGTAGGAGACTGGCTCCTTCAGTGGGCCCTGAAGCCAGACTCTAAAGACACTATGGAGCTTCAGTCCCCACTGATATTACACTTACAGCCAGAACAGAATGTAGTTCCCACAGATGGAGGGCTTGCTCCAGTTATTAGCCAACTCAGCTACTTTGTCGTCCTCATCAGTACAGCACTGTCACATCCTCTTCACGCACTTGGTAAGGTTAACAAGAGTTCCGGATGCACAGTCACCCAGCTGTCCAAATATGGGACCATAAGTCACAAATCCTCCTTCTAGGGAGGCCTCTGGCTCAAAGCTCTACTTTGAACCCTGACTATCTACTCAACTCTATGATTGCTATTATTTACTTCTGGTTAACTGGCTAAACTGAGGCCTTGGCTATCATGCTACCAGTGCTAAACAATACCAGAAATGCCCAAGACATCAGAAAGAAATGGGAGGAGCTAGTCCTTTTCTGTCTCTCAGCTGTGTGGAAATGAGAACCCAGGGATAGGATCCGATGTGCGAGAAGAATGGGACTTTGGCCATGGGGACACTCACCACACACTGGACTGACTGCTGGAAAGCACCGGCTTGTGACTGGATTTAGACACCCACTTCCTACTTCCTCCCCAAAGAATCATGCATCACAGCTCCCTGAGCACAAACACAATGAACAAAGTGACTTGCTCTCTAAAGACCATAAATCCCCTAACAAGCTACCCTCACAACAACAGAAACCACCTTCCTTCGGACAGAAACTCACTTTCCAAATCTTTTCAACCACTGAAATGCCGCAGGGATGATGCTCTTCCCATTCCAGCAGCTTCAGGAGTTCAGCACTTTAAGCCAGATGGAAAGAGACCAGCTAGAGTTCCATGTGGATCTTTCAGGCTCAGGAGAAAATCTAAATGGAAGGTCTAACAGGTTCCGTTGGTCTGTTCCATTTACTACTATGTGTCCTTAGCCCACCCAGGTTAAAGAAGATGCTGATTCCTACACCTCACAGGGAGGTCAGCCTACAAGGGCACAGCTTATGGCTTGAGACACACACTTACGGCTTGAGACTCTTCTATGGTGTTGGTCAAAATTAACCTATTTCATCACTTTCTCAGCCAGAGTCCAAACCAACTGGGGCCACAGTGGCACAGCTGGAAATCCTCCTCGCTGCTTTCTAAACCCACCATCTTTTTTCATGCACTTGACTTGTAAGTCCCAGAGAAGACAGAGATGAATAAAGCTTCGAGCCAGGAGTACATTAAGCAAAGACGACTTCTCAAAAATGTGTCTAAAGTCAGTCCTGCTAGAAAAGACAGCAACGTGGAATTGGGATTTCCACAAGCACATTGAGAACCAGCGAGGCTTCTGGCATAAAGAACAATTCCAACTAATGAACCACAAACTAAGAACTGAACAAAATCAAGTCTTGACTGGTGTGACTCAGGTGGAACATGATGCCGTACACCAAAAAGGTGGTGGCTCAACTCCTAGTCAGGGCACATACCCAGTTGCAGGATCAATCCCCAATCTGGGTACCTGCGAGAGGCAACTGATCATTATTTCTCTTACATCAGTGTCTCTGTCTCTGTCTCTCATTCCCTCTCCCTCCCTCTCTCTCTCTCTCTCTCTCTCTCTCTCTCTCTCTCTCTCCCTCTCTCTCCACACATACACACACACACACACACACACACACACACACACACACACACCTCTCATCAATAAAATAAAATTTAAAAGAATTAAACTAAGTCAGATATGAGCAAAATTCTAGGATATATATTTGATAGCTTTCTTTGTTCCCCTCATCTTATTGTTTTCACTCCTTACTATCAATTTAAAAAGGCAGTCCTCTGGTGTACACAACTGTCTCAATCAGGTCACTTTCCCTAAAACAAGTCTTTTATGTAAATATTAGGGTCACCCAACAATGTACCTTAGGACCACATAGTTTGGGATGATAGGTCCAACTTTTACAGAAAAGTGGTCTTAAAAAAATAAATATAAAAATACAGACTTGGGTTTCACCTAATTCTTTCAAAGGGGGGACTGGGAAGGCTCATCAAAAACACATCAATTCAGGTATTTCCTATAAATTTTACATCAAAATCTAATCCCACTGATTAATATAAGGCAGTGAGCCTTCAGATTTAATTATTACATAATATAGGGGACAGTATATACATTTTCAAAGTCTGAGGTTTTTTCTTTCCTAACTAACAGATAACAATATTTTTAAAGTGCATGAGTCAATTAAGAAAAAAATAACAATGGCCTCATTTCAGGTTGCTACCTACTTCTATTATAAAGCTATAGACTGTCTGAGGATTGAGGTTTAATGTCAGAATCCTGAGGATGTCTCATAGAGCAAGAGAGATTGCAGTAAAGTCCTTCCATAGCAGCTTCACAATTACCTTCCTCCAATGCTGGCACGCTGGAGAAGAAAACGTGAGAAATGACTGAGGGAGAGGGGCAATACAGTGTGAGTCTGGAAGGTGGAGAGCAGGGAACACTTTTATGAGGACTGCCTCCCAGGTAACTCACGTTGCATTAAACAAGTTTGCAAAGATCCAGGAACTCCCCAACATAGGAGATTTGGTGTCTGTGTAGGGATCACAGGCTAACTGGACTCTTGTCAAAAGGAACAGAGTGATAGAATCATCTTTGTCTAAAAGTTAGCAGGTTATACTTTTAAAATCAATGTGGTGGGGTATACATAAGGGTGTTCTTTGCTGAAATTTTTTCATAGTAAAATGTTGGGGGGAATTAATCCTTTAAACATGTCTTCCTTTCTAGAAGCCCCATCTCTCAACAAAGTAGCAAAACCAAACAAACTGAAGAAATTTAAGGAGTCGGCCACTCTGTGTAAAGAATTCCAGTCTCGCCGAAACCGGTTTGGCTCAGTGGATAGAGCGTTGGCCTTCGGACTGAAAGGTCCCGGGTTCGATTCCGGTCAAGGGCACGTACCTTGGTTGCGGGCACATCCCCAGTGGGGTGTGTGTGTGTGTGTGTGTGTGCAAGAGGCAGATGGTCGATGTTTCTCTCTCATCGACATTTCTAACTTTCTATCCCTCTCAATTCCTCTCTGTGTAAAATCAATAAAATATATATATATTTTTTAAAGAATTCCAGTCTCTCTCCTATGAGGAAGTACTTTCTTTCGATTGTTAATATTTATCTGTGCTCTGGAGGACAGGGTGAGGGTGAAAACAAATGATTTTCTTTTCATTGTTTGGTTCTGTAAATTTGGACAGGGTAAAACTAAGTAAATAACTACCTCTTAGGATTTGCTGGGCTATGAAATTCTCAGTAATTACCTTTGCTTCAGTAAGTAATATTTTGCCCCTACAGTACAGCAATTTCAGAAATTTAACATGAGAATAGTGAATAAATTTTAAAAATACCTTCTCTCAGCTATTTGTGCGAATGGAACAAAGAAACCCTGACTGTCAGGGAAACACCACTGTAGAATGAAATACAACAATATCCAGGGCTTCAAAAGCAACCAGACAGTAAGAGGCACACAGAGGCACTGGGAACAAGTCCCTCAGACTTCCCTGATGCAACAGAACTAAGAGCCCAAAGAAAAATATGTACAGAGACTCTCATGGCAAAAATAAACAATAAGTTTATCCAGGGAGCTTGTATGCCTGGCAGCTCCATTTTAAGAGCAAGTCAGAAGTTAATAATAAGCAGGAAAAATAAGCAAGGCTTTGGCTGACTGGAAAACAGCTCAGTAGAAAATTATTTTATAAAGACTATGACAGCAAAGGCATGATTCAGCTTCAGTGATGAAAGAGTGGTCACTCAGCTATCCAATGGGATGATGCACAGCAAGTTGGCTTTTCGCTGCCCAAATAGACAGTCACTAAAATAATTTCTAATTTTTTACAAAGCATATCAATTTTGGCCAGTGTAATCCTCTACAAAATGCACTCATATGTAAAATAATGGCGGTATGAAGCTGCTCAGAGGACGGGAATGCTATGGCAGTCCACTAATCCCACCCTGCTTCGGACTTTGCTCCCAGAGGGTGTAGGCTGGACCGCTCCTTGTTCATGCAGCAGCCGATGCGACTGCACACCTATGGTGAGGAGCCCTGGTCTTCCATGTCCTGCTCCAATAGGGAGGGGAGGCCTGGTGTGAAGCACCCACACCAGGAAGGAATGAGCCAGAGAAATCATCTTGAAGAAAGTGACTCCTCAGAGCAGAAAAAGACTGACATCTGGGAATCACAGGACATCTCTGATTGGCTAGTCAGGTCCTCCATACTCAACCCGGGGCAAATGGGCAGGTTTCCTCACAACCTAGACTTCCTCAGAGGGGATGCTGGGGTAGGTCATACAGCTCAGAAGGAGGCAGATTCCCTCCAAAGCATCACAGGACTGGCTTGCAGGAATGGGCACTCGTCACTTTCCAGCTCCTCCTAAAATCATCATCATCAACTCCACAGAGGAAGCGGCCTCAATGGCTCAGAGCAGATGGTAGTCTTTTAAGAAACAGATGGAAACTGTTTCAAAGACAAAATGAAATGTGCTAAAAATATAAATAAATAAAGTAATAAATAAATCTAATTCTTCTTCAAAACTCTAAGGCAGTAACAGACTTGACACAAGGAATAAAAAGCAAGGAGGTACCGACAATCACACTGGTCCCTTCTCTGCCCCAGGCTCTGCCACCCTCCCGCTGTGGTGACCTCTGGCTGTGGCGCTCCTGAGCCTCAGGGTCATAGTGAAAGAGGCTGTCACCAGGGAAACCTTCACCAAGGTCTGACCTGATGAAGAACACATGCGATCAGCAGCAACAGTGAAGCTCATTACCACCTTTCCTAAGAGACTCTGAACACCAAAAGCTTTAAGCCCTCAATGTAAGAAGACATCTAAACCTAGAAACTTTGGAAGTCTGATTGGTTCCAAACCAAAGTTTCCAAATAGCATTCTTACTCCAAAGAAAGGAAAAAGTGGTGAGAATCTGGATGGTGTTATTTTTTTTAAAACTTTCTTTCTAAGATAACACCCCTTCTTTGGTTATACAAAAAACAAACAAACAAATAAACAAACATTAGTAACACTTGCCTTTCAAAGATGTGGGCTCTGGCATCAATCCAGTACCTATTATAATTGGCACCCTTTGCCCTTCAACCACAGGTGCCCTTGCTAAGGGCCACTGCCTCCTGAAACAGGAAGTGATGGAGGCACCTTTTCTTCCCAGAAAAGTTACAGTGACCATCCCTTTGGATTGCACAGAAGTTCTTGCTGTGATGGTGAACACACAGGTGTAGGGAAGGGAAAAGAGGAGGCAAAGAGGCAGAGGCGAGCCCTTGGGACTAGTAATGCCCCTCACGGGCCTTGAGGGCTCCCAGCCTGTGCTAGCGACCATGAAGAACTGGCAGGAATATGGCAGTGGTGAGCGGCTGGGCAGAGCCTTCTCCAGCCAGGGAACTGGGCTCCCTTCATGGACACTGTGCTTTCCCTCTCTCAGCACTTGCAAAAAGAGAGTGGGCACCACCAAATGCATCTGCAATAAAGGCTCTGGAAGAGGAGTGAGCAGCAATTCTGTACCAAATACTATTTTTAGAAGGCAACACCCAACTTGCTTTTAGGCTTTTGCCTAGTGGGCACCTTCATAGAGGGATTCTGCTGGAGTCTGAAGCAAGAAGAGTGTGAGTCGTGGACCACAGAACAGGGGCACTACACCACCACCTGCAGAAGCCGAGGAGCGGGCAAAGCTACGTGGGTCAACAGTCAGGCATGCCAAGCAGGGCATGAGGGCCAGGAGCCTCATGCTCAACTTCGAGCTCTTGCCTGTCGGAAATAAGAGGCACCAGCTGGCAGCCTGTTCAGCCAGCAAACACCACCTGCCCGGTCCCCCGGGCCTTCAGCTAGTGTAGTAGACGTGGAAGTAGAGAGTCTTGTTGCGAAGCAGGGAGTAGGAGTTGTCAAACTTGAGCAGGTAGATGCCCTCCCCGGGGTAGTCGTGGCTGCCAGCCTGCACGTCTCGGTGGCTGTCCCGCCGGTACACAGGCATGACCTCCCCATAGCGACCCCGCAGGGAGCTCCTGGAGCCTCTCTCCACATCGCCAGCTGGGACAGGATCTGCATGAACAAAACAGCAGAGTGTCTGGACATGAGTTCAGGGAACACACATAAGTCCTACCTGAAGGTAAGAGAATGGACCCGGTGAACTAGTGGCTTACACCCAGGTGGGGGGGATGCTCTTGCCCTCCTAGAGGAATGTGAAAATATCTGGGTGACCCAAGGGTCCAGAAGTGCTAAACATGAGAATAGCGCCTGCCTCACAAACAAGCATCCACCCCAAATGCCAATCACGCCTCCACTGAGAAGCGAGGATTTAGCCTTATGGAGCCTAACTAGCTCCAGTGGTGTCCGGACATTAACAAGGGAGAGCAGATATTTAGAAGGGATGATTCTCACATCCTTCACTCAACAAGGGAACGAACTAGCTAATGGAGGTATGAAATGCAGACAAACACGCTGCACAGAGTGACCTAGATCTTCCAGCTGGCGTCCTGAAGAGCAGCAAATAAGATATGAGGTTCTCCTCTTCCCTAAATAACTTAAGGTTTCCTACAGACTTGCTTGTTCACAAAGAAGCAAGGTAAGGAAATGATTTTCAGATGATACAGGAAAATCACGGAGTAAAGCTAATGCTTAGATTTATATGATAGTCACCACCCCCCAAAGTGCCCTAGGACCATTCTGAGGAAGTATTGCAATTAACAACTAGGATGGAGCACAGAGACTATTTTTAAAACTGCTCCAGGCGTAAAATTAAAAAAGTAAACAGTCAGCCAGCCATGATCATCTGTTAGGGGACGGGGGGGGGGGGGGGGGGGGGGGGGGGGGGGGGGGGAATATGGGTACACTTAGCAAATTATAATCACTCAGTTTGGTTCCAGGCCAAGAATAAATACAAATATCATAAAACTAAGCGATAAATGAAAAGTAATCTCAGGTTTATGTGTGATCTGAATAACACTGCCTCTATGCACAATAGCAATGACCCACCTGTTTCCCTGCCCCTGTCCCATCCCTGTCCCCAAGGAGATGTTGGGAAAACAGCAGGTACTGATTAAAAGGAAAAGACGCTTCCACTAAGGCATCTATCCAATCCCACCCGAAAGCTCTTTGAGGGTCTGACTTTGGCCTGCGTCACTCAACTTAGCAGGGATTCCTCGCCCGCATTCTGAGGAAGAGGAGGACAGGCCCAACACAGGAAGTGGTCACTAGATATTAGGCTGAGCCTGGAAAGGAAACTGCCAACTAGGTTCAAGTTACATTTACCTTCAAGCCCCTCCTCATCCTCCTCGTCTTCATCCTCATCCTCACTCGAATCGCTGACCTGCACGGTTATGTCAGTGCTGGTGACAGGGGTCCAGTCAAAATAAACTCCAAAGCCAATATCATAGTCATCGGTGGCAAACTCCCAGCAGACACGCTTCCCTTCTGGATGGGTAGGAACCCGGATGGTCACCACCTCACCCCGCTTCACCACCAGGCAGCTGTTCTTCTCCTTGCCCAGCTTGCTTTTGAATTCCTTCATCTTGGCAAAGGTCCAGATGCAGGGAGGAGCCATCAGCGGAGGGGAGACTGAAAGGACAGGCAGCTTACTACAGAGGAACCAAGAGGAAATGCTGCCACACCTGGCATTTTGTGTATGGAGGTTGTCATAGTCAAAGGCATTCCTTCTACTGGCTTTTTTTACTTCCTTTCACAAGTCACTTTCTCTTTCCTTCCATCTGTCTGCCTGCCTTTAAGTACCCGCTGGTACAGAGAAACCACCTCCCAAAGGTCTTACCTTTCCTGTGGTCCCCCAGAAGATCTGCAGATTCCAAGTCAGCTGAAAGAATATCTACAGCTCCCGTGTGCTCGGACTGGATCATAACAATGTCCCCAGACCTCTGTGGAGCTTGATACTTGGCCATCTGCACAACAATTCCGGTTAGAGGACATGTTAAGAGTGGCAGATTCCAATTACCTCCACTCTCCCAACTCTGAGCTTAAGGTGCTAGTCAACATTCCTTCTCTTTCTTCCAGTGAGCAGGGTCCCTCCAGCAGGTGGGGTCCCTTGGCCTGGCCTGTGGTGATCGGGCCAAAACCAGCTCTCTGGCATTCCCCAAGGGGTCCCAGATTGAGAGAGGGTGGTTCTCAGGTGACGCACCCCAGAATCAGGCTCCCTCCTCTCTGGTTCCGGGGTGCATCACCCAAGAACTGCTGCTGCCAAGTCACCACAGCTCAGCAGCTCCTGTGTGGAGCACCTGCCCCCTGGTGATCAGTGCGCATCATAGCTACTGGTTAGAGAGTCGGACGGTCGGATGGTCACTTAGCCTTTTATATATACAGATGTTAGTAATTATATAAACAACCCATTATTCTGTGGCAGAACACCAGTGCTATCAATTCCATCTCTATAGAATCTTTCCTATAAATCCTGAGTAGATCCACCATAAGACAAGTGAGATTAAAATGCAGTGCAATGGTTTAGGCTCCTCACATTGAGGAGATAATAGACAACATGTAAACATTCATTCTAACACTTCATTTTTTAAATAGGTGCCTACTGGTACACTGATGGGCCCTGTGGAAGATACACATGATCAATCACCAAATAATTAAAAATGAGATGCCCAAAAAAAAGCAAAGAGAATTCTGGGAGCCACCCTCACAGTTCTTTCTAATTCATATGTACCTAGATTCTGGTGCTGTAAACTCCTCCTTTTAAAGAGAGAGAGAATGTGCTTCCTACCTTGTTGAGGACCTCGCCCTGGTCTGCAGGCCTCAATTTCTGTTCCACCAAGGCCTGAGCCTCCAAGGCACTGGATGCTTTCCGGAGATCTTCCACGGCATCCTCGCTCACTGGAGGTACCATCTGCGGCCTCTCAGAGGAACACAACATGTCATTCAAGGGCTCTTTTAAAAGGCACACTAGGCCTGGAGAAATTCAGCAGTAAAACACTCTTCAAAGGACACCCCCACACCCCCGCTTTCCTCTGGCAATCAGGTCTCCTGTCAGTTTAGCTGACCACTGCCCAGGGCTGAACAAGGCCACAATAAAGTGGTGACAGTACATGAGGGCCCACAGACGGATAAAGCCACATCCCAGGCTCCAGGAACCATAGTAAATACATAGCTCAGGCATCGGAGATGGACTGCAGGTCTGGTTTTATTCCTCTCTCTGAGACCCCTGCCATTTGTTCCACACAGAATTTCAACCAGAGATAGAACCCCAATACACATAAAGTCACAGGTTAAAAGCAAAGAAATGGACTGAACATCAAGACAAAGAAAGCGCAAACTGATTTGCAAGGCAATCCCTGTCCACAGTTATCCCAGGAGCAGGGTTTCAGCATTTCCATTGCACAGCCTACCTTATGCAACCCTGTCACTGATATCCATATTGCACCCAACTCACGGGGTAATAAGAATAGGTAATCAATCACTTTCTTGTCTTTTTAATCTATTATCCTGATGGCATGAACTCTATCTAGTTGAATAGTTATTTTAAAGAAGCAAGAAAATAATTACGCTCGCTTCCATCTTCCCTGGCTTCCAGAGAGACTAGAAAGTGCGTGAAGCACCTGGTGCACAGCATCTAGGTCTCTCAGGAATGATCGGTTTCCAACAAGAGGAGGCATGGATTCTTCAGAGCAGCAGTTATCAAAGTATCTTCCGGGACCCCTGGGTCCTTAAGACTCTTTCGTGGCAATCTGTAAAGTTAAAACTTCTTAAAAATTCTAAAATATGATTTGTCTTTTTTCATCTTAAGAGTAGACAGTGGAGTTTCTACATGTGATATTGCCACAGAACGAATGCAGAAGCAGATCTGAGAATCCAACTGTCTTTTGTTATGGCAGACAATACAGAGACTTGCGGCATCTCTCTTCCCACTAAATTATTTTTGCTTTGGAAAATAGTTGTTTTTCATTAAAAACATGTTATTTATATTAACATGTAATGAATTTGTTATTGGTTTCTTTAAATGAATCAATAACAATGTTTTTAATTTTTCAGTTTTAATTTCTAATATTGTAAACATTGATAGATACAACCCACATAAGTAAAAATTCTTTGGGGGCTAAGGGTTTGAGGACTGCTGCTTTTGGGCACCATTTCCTCTGAGAAAATGGCTGGGAAACAGTACTTTTAACCACATGGGAAAGAGAGGGCTTATTTTGGAGCTGGTTAGTTTCGTTTCTCTTTTTTTTCCTTCATTTTCTTTCTTCCTTTCAATGCAAACAAGAAAACCCACTCCTAGCTAATAAACTATCTCTTCTTTAGATAAAACAGAGCCATCTTTTAAAATATCCTAGTCACTCCAACCTACCTCAGAACAAACAAGAGGTAGTTACCATGAAAATTAGCTATGAGATACTGTTGATTTTTATGGGTTTGCTTGGGTAATCCTGTGTAAAATGTAAACTGATCTATGTTGTGAGTTTATTTTATCCTCTTAAACCCAGAAATTACAGTCCATTTCTTTTTCTTGACACTATTAGGTGAGCTTGATAACAAGGACTGCTCTTACTCCCTCCGTTTGCAAAGTGTCTGCACCCAAGCCTGTCGCATGGAACCCTAAGGCCCTTTACACTCTGACCCTGTCTCTCCTAGACTGACCTGATCTCGCCTAGCTCAATCCACTCCAGTCACAAGGGCCTCCAAATGTCTTGAGAATCCTCAAACAGTTCAAGCACTCTCCCACTGGAGGGTTTTTCACCTGTCGTCACCTCTGCCTAGAATCCCCTCCCCCTAGTTACCTTCTGGCTTCTTCCTTCAGGTTTCTGCTCAACCATGACTTTTGGGAGACCTCCCAGATGTCTGAGTTCAAAGTGGCTCTCCCCTCCCTGGCCCATCACTCTTTGCCCTCCCCTCCCCCGCCTTTCACTTTTTCTCGCTGCACTCATTACTGCCTGACATATTATGTACCATATTTTGTTGATTGCAAGATGCATATTTGTTTTCAGATTTTAACACAACTGAAATATGGGCTGTCCTAAAAATTGGTGATGTCTTCAAACTGCCTGGGGCCTGGGCTGGCATGAGTCCCTCCACAGAAGATGTGCATCTGCTCTGCCAGGGCGTGGGAGCCCGGGAGCACTACCCATGGAGTCGGAGTTGCCTTGAGGTTCTGTTGAAGGGTTTGCTTCGACCACACGAGCAGAGTGAATTTAGGAAACAAACTGGTGACTAAACGTGTGGCTCATATATTCAGGGGACATATTTTGCCCTGCCCTCATCAGTGCCAAGGCTGAGACTTTCACATTTCCCTGTTGCCCTTTGCTGTGTAGGGAATTTTCCCTTCATTTATCTTTTCACGGAAGGTGCAAGCTTTTGTTGAGCCAGAGCTCCATGGGGGTGGGAGGGCGGGGAGGGTCTCTTATTAGACCCACTATGGAGCATTTTTTCTTTCTTGCTGGTACATAAAGTAACAGTTCATCTTACAGTTGATGGCAACTTAGACCCCATGAAATAATTTCTTAATTCTATGGTATACTTGCTTTCTGTCTGCCTCCCTCACTAAAATATAAGCTCCATGAGACCAGGGACTTGGACTGCTTGTTCATTTCTGGCATCTTCAGTGCCTAGAACAATGCCAGGTACATGGCAGGCTCTCGATAAGTATCTGTTGACTGAATAAACAGCAGCCACCCATTCATTGTTAAATGTTAATTTTTTGTTTGGACTGTGAGGATACAAAAGTTCATCTGACCATTAGCCTGCCCTTCTGGTATGTGACATCTAAAATTTAGTGTCTTTGCTTTTGTGCATCTTACTTTCCACAAATATAGTTCTGTTTATTTAAAAATACATATTTTACACAGGACATGCAACAGCCACATGAATTTAATATTCACGTTAGCATTTTATGCTCTGAAGAATCAGTGAAGGGTATTTTGGGAAAGATGAATTGCAAATCACTTGATGCCAATGATAAACCATATAAAGAAAACACTCCCACTGTAGGCCTCTGGCTGTGCTGACCCAGAACAGGCAGGCCATCCCAAAGGGAGGGGCCAGCCTCACTAGGAATGATAGAGCGCTCTGCCATTTCCGTTCCCAGTACATACAAAACATAAACACTAAACTTCAGGCACTAAATATCACTAAACTTCAGGCACTAAATATCATGACTGCTGCATTTTGTTTTCTTCACACACTAGATTTTAGAAACAAAACTTTAAGATTATATTTTCTTCTTCACTCAAAAAAAATGTATTTATTCTCGCCGTGGCCGGTTTGGCTCAGTAGATAGAGCATCGGCCTGTGGACTGAAGGGTCCAGGGTTTGATTCTGGTCAAGAGCATGTACCTTGGTTGTGGGCACAACCCCAGTGGGGGATGTGCAGGAGGCAGCTAATCGATGTTTCATTCTCATCGATGTTTCTAACTCTCTACTCCTCTCCCTTCCTCTCTGTAAAAATTCAATAATATATATATATATATGTTTTTAAATGTATTTATTCTTAGGAGGAAAAATCAGTTCTGTGCCAAAACCCATCCCCCAAAGTTCCTTCAACTCAACAGAAAAAGGGTGGTGGCAGGAAGATGGAAAGTTCTCCTCAGGGGATTTGATGAGAACATAAATTATCTCAAATAATCAAAGCCTGAGGAGGCTGTATCCTCTAAAAGGAGTGTTATATACAGTAACAATCTAGTAGTTCTAAGCATAGAACTCAAAACCCTTCTATCTGTATTTATGAGACTAAGCTTTAGAATAAAACAAAACTAAAGCTAGGTAAATTGGAGCAAGTTACTGAATTTACTGATTTTCCTCATCTGAAAATAACCAGTAGGTATACTTATGTAATGAGAGTTGCTATGAGGATTAAATGAGATCACACATTTTAACACCTGGAATAGTACTGAGCAAATATAAATATTCAATAAAAATGGCAATTTTATCATTATTACAGAAAAAGATTCAGTGAAGTGTGGCTTATATTATTATCAGCAATTAAATGAATCATTATCTTTCATCATCTAAATTCTGGGGGAACAAGTTTTATTTCATATACAAAGGTGAGAAGAACGAACGTCTACTCAAGAAGGCAGATATTCTTGCCCAGCTGGTGTGGCTCAATTGGTTGAGCATCATCCCATTCTGCTTGACAACACTGTGCTATTCCCTGATCAGTGGGACTATGATATTCACTAGCAAAGTGTTCTCCAAGATACAGTTTTTCATTAATTATCCCACTTATGTTTCGTGTGTCCCCTCATTCTATTGCTCAGTACAACTTGCTGCTATATACTCTATCACTGATGGTGGGACGATGAGATGGACAGAGAGGGAAATTAACAATAACTTGAAGGTGATTATAATGGTTGAATCTGAAAATTACATAATAAAACACTGCCTCCAATAGTGTATGTGGCCAAAACCAGTTTGGCTCAGTGGATAGAGCGTTGGTCTGTGGATTGAAAGGTCCCAGGTTCATTCCAGTCAAGGGCATGTACATTGGTTGCAGGTACATCCCCAGTGCGGGGTATGCAGGAGGCAGCTGGTCGATGTTTCTCTCTCATCGATGTTTCTAGCTCTCTATTCCTCTTTCTTCCTCTCTGTAAAAAATCAATAAAATATATATTTTTTTAAATAGTGTATGTGTATGTGTATGTCTGTGCATGTTATAAATAAAAATCCAACATATATTTTCTTGGAAGACCACCTAGAATAATCTTCAGGAGAACATAAATAAAGACACAACTGTTCATTACAGTTTTATTTTCTGAGAGTAAATGAACATTTTATAACTTGCAATAGATCTGGCATTGCCCTAAATACACTTAAGGGTTGATTAATTAATGACAAAACCATTCACTTGTCTTCCCCCTTGATGTCACTGCCCACTTCTTTCATCAATTCCTTATCCCAGAAGAGAAAATCTCTAGGAGCATTTTATCCTAAGGAGTTGCTGTCCCTACCTGTAGGGTGAGGAATGGGGCTCTGGATCAGAGGCAGAAGCCACTGGAGAGATGACCTTGGTGTCTTCTAGATCTTCATTCTCTAGGAAATCATGGAAAGAAAATTTCAATATCTAAGAGGGAACACAACCATAATTATCTTGTATCTTTTTTAAAATCTGAACATTCAACAACCTTCCCTTTCCAAAAATATTCTGGGCATAAACTTTATACTCTGGGAGGCCCAGTACATAAATTACAATCATCACATCCAAGTATTTTCAGGTAGTCATAACCCATTTATTAAAAAAATAATAATAAGTCTTTTTCCAAAATAAGTACCCACAGAATTCATTCTAATTCAAGAACCATTATATCTCAGAAAGCAGATGGTTACAATTAGGTGGGAAATATAGTGCGCAGTAAGATGTACAATAGGATGAAAGGAACTGCAATTCAGTGCCAAAGTATACAATGCCACCTCTATATTCAGATTACTGTATCCAAGATCAGGTAAAATATTTTCGTAATTTCATTCATTTACTAACTCGCTCACTCACCAATAACTTATTGAATACTGTCAGGCATCTACAAGGAATATAGTGAGGTGCATAATGAAGGCTATGGTCCCAAGCTCACAACAAACCTCTGGCTGGTAATATCAATGCCATTGTGCAGGTAAGGAAAATAAAGCATAGAGACAAGATTCAAAGCCAGGCAGCCATGCTCATAACCATTAGGTGCTACTTGGTTTTGTGTTTTATTCATTTAGCCTTTCCTTGAGCACTCAGATACTAAATAACCCTTGGTTTAACCTATTCTGGCTAAGACTGAAGCCTAAAGTTCACATCTCAATTCAAAATCCAACTTACTAAAGCAAACCTCAAACCCTGAAAGCTTCAGAATTTGGGGAACAACATAAAAATGCAAATGACAAGCATATATTTGTGACCCAATTTTAATCTAGTCTCATTTTTTTGTATGTAAATATGAGCTATTTTTCTTTTCACTCTCTCATAGGAAGAAAAACCTTAGAGCTTGTGCTACACAATTTTCTTCTTGTAAGATAACAGAAAATATATATTAGTCTCTGCCCCTGGTTCCTGGCACAGAATTCCTAAAACCCTTATGATTTCCTAAGTTATAAAAGCTGGGAACATCTTTTGTTCTAATATTTGGTCTTTAATCCCGGTTGCTGACACTGAGTTCCTAAATCCCTAGCTAGGTGATCATAGTGCCTTTTGTTTTAATGAGATGACTCTTGGTGGGCTCCTGGATGGGGGCCCATGCACCAAAGGGCCTCGGGTTGGATTCACAGTCAAGGGCATGTACCTCACCTCAGTTGTACCTCACCTCAGTTGCAGGTTCATTCTTCCCCAGTCGGGAAACATGGGGGAGGCAACTAATTTATGTTCTCCCCTCCCTCCTCCCTCCCTCCCTCCCTCCCTCCCTCCCTCCCTCCCTCCCTCTCTCCCGCGCGCGCGCTCTCTCTCTCTCTCTCTCTCTCTCTCTCTCTCTCTCTCTCTCTCTCTCTCTCTCTCTCCTTTCCTCCTTCCTTTTCTCCCTTCACTTTCTCTAAAAATCAACGGAAAGAAGTCTCCTCAGACTAACAACAAAAAAAGAACAGTATCCTCTATTACTTAAACTTAGGAGCTTATTGTATTGCCTTTTACATTTTTTAAAATGTTTATATTGACTTCAGAATGAGGAAGAAGAAGAGGAAATAGAAATATCAATGAGAGAGAATCATTGATCAGATGCCTCCTGCAACACAACCCCTACAGAGCCCGCAACCCAGGAGTGTGCCCTGACCAGAAATACAATAGAACAAAGACCTCCTGGTTCATATCTCAATGCTCGACCACTGAACCACATTAGTACCTTTCACATTTTTATCTACAGTCCAACTAGATCTTTTCTTTTTCTTTCCTTCTCTTTTCTCTTAGGATATCCAATTGCCTCAGCAGCATTCACCATTCTTCCCCCACTACTCTACAGTACAATCTTTGTTGCAAATCAAAGCTTTATCCTCTTCCTAGGGTCTGTGACACTGTTGTGTAAAACTTCAAAATAGGTCTTCTTTTTAATATACGAGCTAATATTTCTTTTTTAAATATATTTTATTGATTTTTTTTTTTTTTTTTTTTTACAGAGAGGAAGGGAAAAAGATAGAGTTAGAAACATCCATGAGAGAGATACATTGATCAGCTGAATCCTGCACACCTCCTACTGGGAATGTGTCCACAACCAAGGTGGATCCTTTGGTCTGCAGGCTGATGCTCCATTCACTGAGCCAAACCAGTTAGGGTTAAGATAAGTCTTGATACCTGATAGAGCAAATCTTACCATCTTGTTCTTATTAGTGCCTGTGTTATTTGTGGCCTTCACTTCTACATATATATTTAGGACCAGCTTGTCAAATTTCAAAAAAGCCAAAACCCTGTTAGGATTTTTATTGGGATTAAATTTTACCTACAAAGTTGGGGAGAACTGACATCTTTACAATATTGAGTATTTCAATCTAAGAATATGTTATATCCTTCCATCCATTTAGATATTCTTTATTATCTCTTAATAATCCCATATAATAAAAGCATAATATGCTAAATGTCCAACTGTTCATGAGACCATTTGGCCAATGGGGACTGGGCGAGATGGGCCAGACACGCCCTGGAGCCCTCCTGTGTTCCCTCTGCAGCCAGATAAACTCCTGAAGATTGCTAGAGGGCACAAGGCAGGCCCAGGGACCCTACTGATGCACAAATCCATGCACCTGGCCTCTAATATATTATAATCTTCTGTAGAAAGACTTTGAATACAACTTGTGAGATTTATTCCTCATATTTTTACTCTGTGGTAAATAACATTTTATTTACTTTGTTGCTGGTATATATAAATGCAATGGAATTTTGCAAATTGGCTCTGTAGCTAGCAATCTGGCCAAACATTAATTCTAGTAACTTATCTGTAGGTTCTTTTAGATTCTTCATGTTTATAGTCACCATCTGCAAACAACAGCTTTAACAGGATTTCTTTCGAATCCTCATATATTTTATTTTTCTTATCTGACTGTGCTAGCTAGAATATCCAGCAAAATAATAAATAGTTAAGTGGTGAGAGTGGTTACCCCTGTCTTATACCCAATCTTAAGAAGAAAACTTTCAAATTTCACCATTAAGTTTTATGTTGCTTGTAGGCTATTTGTAGATACGTTTAATCCAGTAATGAAGTTTCCTTTTATTCCTAGTTTGATAAAGTTTTGAATCATAAAAAGAGGTTGAATTTTATCACACACTTTTTTCTGCATCTAGTGCAGTGGTCGGCAAACTCATTAGTCAACAGAGCCAAATATCAACCGTACAACGATTGAAATTTCTTTTGAGACCAAATTTTTTAAACTTAAACTTCTTCGACTGCCACTTCTTCAAAATAGACTCACCCAGGCCATAGTATTTTGTGGAAGAGCCACGCTCAAGGGGCCAAAGAGCCACATGTGGCTCGTGAACCGCAGTTTGCCGACCATGGATCAAGTGTATGAAAATGGTGATTTACAGACTTTAAAAAATGTTAAAATAACTTTTCATTCCTGGAAAAACCCAACTGGGACCTATATAATGCTGGATTCAAAGTTAATATTTTATTCATCACTTTTTGCATTTATGTTAATGACTGATATTAAACTGCAATTTTCCTCTCATCTAGGATCATTTTGATGCTGCCTCAGTTAGTTATTCCTCTGGTTCAGGTATGAAGATGATAAAGCCTGTACTTGATAGTCTGAAAATATCTTTATTTCATCTTCATTATTTTTTTTAATGTTTTTATTGCTTTCAGAGAGGGAGAGATAGAAATATCAATGATAAGAGAGAATCATTGATCAGCTGCCTCCTGCACGCTCCATACTGGGGATCGAGCCCACAATCTGGACGTATGCCCTGGCTTGGAATCGAACTGTGACCTCCTAGTTCATAGGTCTACACTCAACCACTGAGCCATGCCAGCCAGGCTCATCTTCATTCTTGAAGACTTTTCACTTTCCTAGGGGGAAAAAAGTTCTATATCAATAGTTTTTCTTTCAGTATTTTAAAGTTAATCTAGCTCTCACTGCTCTGTACAGAAATCAGTTTTCAGCCTAATCACTATTCCTTTAAAGGTAAACTGAAATTTTCTTTGACTAGCTTTAATATGTTCTCTTTGCTTTGGTTTTATAGCAGTTTTACTTAATGAATACCTACTGTAGATTTCATTGTACTGATACCTCTTGAGGTACATAGAGCTTCTTGAATCTGTAGATTGCATTAGTTTGGGAAAATTCACAGCTATTCTCACCAAACATTGCTTCTATCCATTCTTGCTCTGAGTCCTCACCTTCTAGGATTCCAATTATACAAATGTTAGACCTTCTCATAGCCTTTATGACTCTTAACTCTGTCCTAAATTTTCTATTATTTCATTTTTATATGTTTCCTTCTGGATATGCTGTTCTGACCTTTCTCAAACTTTTCTTTCTTTGAACATCTATAATAATAAAAAGTGTAATATGCTAATTAGACCAGACTTCCTTCTGAACTAAGCTGGGGCTGCAAGGGAAGCCCAGGTCCTGGGTACTAAAGGGAAGCCAGTACCAGCAGGTGGGGGAAGGAAGGCCTACTCTTACATAAATTTCATGCATCAGGCCTCTAATAATAAATATAATTATTTTTAAGTCTGTATGTGGTAACTCCAAAATCTGGTACCTGTATTAATCCACTTTTACTGTCTGTTGTTCATATATCTCTACTCACGCACCTAGTCATTTCAATATATGGCAGAAATTGTCCTTGCAAAACTATTTATAGAAATAATTTGAAGCCTACAGCGATCTTTCAGAGGTTTGCCTTGCTTCTTCCATGTACTTAGGAGCACAAGTATCCTGGAGTCACCTTAGTCCAATTACTTGAACTTAGATGTATCTGAGCTGAGCTATAGTCCCTGTAATAGCCTACTTCTAATCTGCCCTTAATTCTAGAACATGGCCTTTCATGGTCATGTTCTAACCCAAAGGAAAGAGGATTCTCCAGGGTTTCCCCTCCTTGTCTGGTCCTGAACATTAATCCCTGTTGC